AGTCCCCCACGTGCTGCTTGTTTCAAACTACTTAATGAACGTGTCACTTGTGTGGGTCTATCAGCAAACACATCTGGTGAATCTGACCATAAATGAAATCATATCAACATAAGGGTCAAAACACTGCCAAGGAAATGCTAGTGACAATTGGTGGATGTGTGTGTGTGTGTGTGTGTGTGTTGAGAGAGAGAGAGAGAGAGAGAGAGAGAGAGAGAGAGGTCCATAACAATCTCCTGTCGGCAAAAAAACGCTTTGCAAATGAACTTGATTCACCGACATCAATCTTATTTGGTGTGTTAGTAACTTATGAACATTAAATGGAATGTTCTTCTCAACACCCATCATGCGGGTGTTGACATCAGCACTCGACTTTTGTCTTCTCTTCTACCCTCGACTTTTGTTTTCTCTTCTACCCTTCACCCTTCACCTCTTCCCTTCCGGCTCTCAAATCTCGAATCGCTGTGACCTGTGGAATACCCTTTGCTTCATTATTCCCCAATCTTGTTACACTTTACACTTCTTACTCTCATTTCTTCTAGCTTTTCGTTGTTGTTGTTGTTGCCGCCGCCACATGTCTCAACTCTCATTTCATTCCTAACCTCTGAAGACCCAAATTTTCAAATCTTTCCCTCAATGGGGTCCTTTTTGTTTTGCTGCCGTCTTCACCCAAATAGACTGGCAGGTCCTTGTAGCTGTATTTGGGGCAACTCCCAGTCTAGGTATTAGCAATAATGTCGGAGTCGACTTCAGGTCAAGATGGGCCCTCGATGCTATCTTACCGAATCTTGAACATCTAACGGTTGCAAATCATACCTAGTTTACCCCATTTCTTGTTCATACATGTGAGGGGCTGGTGTTGTTGAAGGAGAGAGCACAAGCGTGTTATCCCCTGCACTACGCATATGTACAAGAGATGGAAATATGCGATGAAAGAGAGTGAGAGCTCGGGGATGTTGTACCCGAAACAAAACACAACCCGATAACGAATGCATAAAAGCTATATTTCTAGTCACATGCAGCAAAAATGAGTGTGGATTGTGTTCGGGCGAGTGCTATTGCAAACGACTGTATACCTTCTTCCATAGTTCCTTACGAAAAAACAACAAAAAAGGCAAGCTACATGGCCAATAGAACTATAAGCTGGCGTTTTTAAATGTAATTAGACTTTGCAAGTACGATAAGATGCATAACGATGACCCAAAAAAAAATGACAACTCTGGACCTGTGGATCTCTTCTTTCATTTGTTTTTAGTTTTTGTTTTGGGTTTCCCACTCGAGCTCCAGTCTCCCACTTCGTGGCCTTACATCCATTAGCATGTGTTCATTGGGCCTTATGGCAATGCGATAACAACTACAGGACAGAGAGAATTCAATTTGATTGAATTGATGATTCACTGCATTTTTTTGCAATTTATTTGATTCAAAATGACGATTTTTTTTTTCTTCTTCTGCATTGTTTCTAGAGTAAAATTTCATTTCCATATCGAAGACCCTTCCCTTTATAAACTTCAGGAGGCTCATAACGTTTGATCTTGTCTACACTTATCAGTCTTGGAAAAACCAATATTACAATGGAAGCACCTATCTCTGATATAATAAAAAACCTGAGTAGATCTGGATTTTGTGATCAAGCGGGAAAACCACATGCCAAATTGGCCTGGGTGAACTTGACCTTTCGTCGCACATGCTGAATCGGACGGGGGGAGGACGATCCCAATGGGAGGGAGATATTTGACACGTCCACGTTGACGAGACACCATAGTCACACCCGCGGGCATGAAGGACATTGCGCAAAGGAGAACAGTGCGCAAAATGAAATCAAACCACAAAGGGAAAAAAAAAAAAAAAAAAAAAAAAAAAAACAAAAAGGCATTCCAAAAATTAAAAAAAACTAATATGTCATTCAAAAATTTTTACTAAACAACATTTGCCTCAACAGTACATCCAAATTCCTTACCAGATTTGAAAAAAAGTTATTGATAGTAGGACTTGAGAGTAGATAAACGTGATTAAAAAAAAAAAAATATTAATTAAAAAAAAAAAACAAAAAAAGAAAAAAAAAAAAAAAAAAAAAAAAAAAAACCGACTTGCCACCTAGGCTATCAGAGTGGCCCGGGGCCACTTGCCCAGCCGGGCCAAAACAAAATACAAACATACAAACTATTTTTTAACTTTATTAGTCTTTATTTTATATTTTGAAAATGGTAACGAATCTCAATATGACCGTCAGGCAAAAGTTGTTCAGTTTATTTTTCTCCATGCCATAGTTTTTTTTTTCGGAGTTTCTTCAGGAGTTTTTTTTCTTTTCTGCATGGACCTTCCCTGGTCCTTGCACGGCCGGGCCGTCCAGGAAAATAGGGTGAGCCGGGCGGCCTGGCTGGTAGCCTAGCTTGCCACTTTCCGTACGGATGCAATCTTATGGCCACTTCTGGCAGTAAGGAACCTGGGAGAATGAGGCCCAGCTGCACGGGCGTCAGAAAAGAAAAACAAAACTGGAACTTGATACCAACACAAACATGGAACTTTGCCGCACGGCCGTAGGATCGGCAACCTGTGGCGCGCATGCAAACTTCAGCCTTGGGGAGGTGACTTGAGAAAACGAATAAAGAGTTACAAAACGACAGAACAAACCACTACGACAGCCTCAATAATGAAGGAGTGAGTACTGTCTCTTCTCTCTCTCTCTCTCTCTCTCTCTCTCTCACACACACACACACACACACACACGCCCGTTTGATTAAACCACCAGTACCCTGCCCAAGCAGTTTTTTGACACTCCCTGAAGTCATGTTGGCGATTGTTTGGTATGTGTTAGGGTGAGGGTTGGTCTGGGTTCAATAACATAATATGAGACGGAGACGAGACAAACAACCACAACACGAAAAGCAAATGAAAAAACAAACAAAAGACAAACGCATACACAACATAATAGAAAAGCACCTAAGTGTGCCGGGGCCAAAGAACAAAACAAATGAAAAAACAAACAAAAGAAATAGCGAACAAGACAGAGTAAGAAACACGTCAGCGCCAAAAGCTCGTTATTTGGCACCTTGCAAATTTCAGAAACGACCTGACTTCAGGGGTGCCATACCACTAGCACAGAGGATTGTAGAAAGAGGCTGAATCAGGACATGTTTTCTGAGGAGATGCAATAAAATAGATCAACCGCGGTTCTCTTCACATCGGCACAAAAAGTCCAGATTCGAGGCTGAATCAACTCGAAGTAGCACTGTCTCAAATGTATCATACAACATTTACACCTGGACCTGGATGTATGCGACAGCAATTCCGTCCAGAAGAAGTCAAGAAGTCCCTGTTTTCAGTATAGCCGCACGCGTCAAATCAAGTTCAAGTTGCTAGCGGGACCTTGCCACGCGCCTCGTTCTGCCACTCACCAAATTTGGGAAACGACACGGAACTTCTATTTTTCCCAAAAGAAACAAAACAGAACAGAAGGGAAGTGCTGGTGAGCATACTCGTAAGCGCCTTTGGGCCTTGATCTGCAACTCACCAAATGAGCAAAATGATAATGAATCTCCCGTTAGAACATGGAAAGATACGGCGCCATAATTTTTGCCTTTCATGCGTCTGGCGAGTGCTGGAGCGAGGCCTGTATCTCGGCAGACGCATCGGCCTCGCACATCCTTCCACAGCTTCACCTATGGAAACGTTGTTACGACGGGCTCCTTCCTCTACATGAGAACGTGCAATGAAGTTCTTGCTTGGTCACGACTCACGGCCATGAACTTCCGCACGATCAGAGACGACGAGCACAGAGAAGGAAAACGATAAAAAAAAAAAACAGCCCACAATACAGAAAAGCAGGAGCCCCACCCCCCCCCCAAAAAAAAGGAAAAGAAAAAGAACCCAAAGGTGTACATGGGGATGGTTTGAAATAGAAGAGCTGTGTGTGGGGGGGTGTGGGTGTTGTCGCGTTGAACTCCAGAACAAAACATGGCACACACGTCGATGCTGCATGCACGTGAGTGGGTGAGCATGCGTGTGTGTGGGGGTGTGCCTCTGTCCGTGAGTGTGTGCGTGGGTGGGTGCGTGTTTTCTTGTGCATGGGTGAGTGTTTTCTTGTGCGTGGGTGTGTGCCCGTGTAGCATGCGAAACATACTGCCAAAACGGAAATTGTTCAGTGCCCACTGCCAGCGAAGGAACAGAAGAAAAATACGAAATAAAAGCAATGCCGCAAAAAAAGAAAACGGAAACTCCTGTTGCCGCTGACAAACACGGGCCAAGTCCAATTTCGCCGAATGAGAGGATTTCTGACGGTCAAAGACGAAGATGGACGGCCAGAAATCAACAATCCGGCCGAGTGGGACTTGGCCTCGGGCCTCTCCCTCAGCTCGCACACCCTTGGACCCTTGAAATACAGACCGCGCTTTGCAACAAGAATTACCTGGGGCCAGTTGGTTCCACGATGGTGGGCTCGCCACACCACTCACCATACGTGCAAAATGAGAATGAATCTTCCAGCAACATCGAAGTGGTGCAGTGAGGCCCAATATCTCGAGGGCTCGCACACTTTGAAAAAGACAGAAAACGAAAAAAAAACAAACAAACGGTAACAATGCCAGGAGGGGCAACAGTCCTTTTCCCTTTTTACGAAATCCTCTACAAGAGAAGGAAAAAAAAAACAGAACCTGTCAGACACATGTTAGATCTCCGGAGAAAAAGGTTCTCAAAATCATAATGTTCCCTACAGTAAGTAGATTGATGGATCCACTCGCAGCCCTCCCTCCCTCACAGCCCCACAATGTAAAAAATTGTGCACAGATCCAACATATCGACCGTGACTGCACGGCAATAAATAACATCCAAACTCAAACCGCGGCCGCAAAGATCACAGATCGCACGGCCAGAACACGAAATTTGGCCAAGACCATAGCCCAGCGGCCAAGGAGAACTGTCGTATTATGTTGATAAAAGCGAATGCAAGGCCTCAAGGAACGAAAAATCAATCGAGTGATGGCAGAAAGGGATTCACAAGCAATGCAATGAAGAAGCTTTTATCAACAACAACAATACCACTGCAGAAAATATTATCCCGAAACAAAGCAGAGTAAACTAGGTATCAATACATGCTCCGCACAGAACACAATCCGGAAAGAAAACTGAGGAAGAAGACTTGCTCCTTGCGGAGGCGCATTGTCATCTCCCATTTAGACTTTCGCACCCCTCGCTTGTTCTTCTTCAGATCCAAATGTTCTCAGACTTTTTTGAATATTCACCACTTTTCCAAGTGTAACCACGCAAAACATGGCCGATAACCCCGCCAACGAAAGCAGAGAGGTTTTGAACTGAAAAGCACTCACGGCCACTCTGAGTCATCATCATCTTCTTCTCCTCCATCATAGTCTTTTTGTTCTTCACCATCATATAGGGATACGGCGATCATCATCACCCCACCACTATCGATCACCATTCAGCACCACCGCAATTTTCAATGCCATTCTCCTCGTTCTTCCTTAGAGCCTCCCTGCCTCACACAACACATCTATTCTCCAATGTAACGACTGAACACATGAATGGGCAGAGAACGGATACTGTTTGCTGGACCAAAGAACAAGCGTTTTCCAAACTAACGGAGGACACAACGACTTTGGGGGAAAGGGCACGGGTGTTGGGAACAGGATATGACCAAGTTCTGACTGGCAGACAAATCAAACCTTTCTCTTTTGTCACGAGTCCTGTGACATTCACCTTTTGCAAAAGGAGATTGTGAAATGCTTTCGGGGCAACCTCTCCAGTCTCCGCAGGACTAATGATAACCAACGACAACACAAATGCACCGCATGCAACTATCTATAATCGTCACGGGGCACACAACACATTTCATACACCAGTACAAAGAAAGGTTGCCGACATTCAGTGTGAGCGGCAGCAGCTGTGAATCATGTGATCATGCAATCGGAGTCAACGGGTGTGGCGATGCGAGACTAAACGGTCATGCCTAAGGCGGCAGATGTTTAGTGACCAAACATCCTGCCTGCCAAGAATCGTGGGATCAAGTTTAACGTGGCCAAATGGAGAGAACGGAGGGGACTCGAACAAGCAAGCGATCATGCAAAAAGGAATGACAGCCATCATCATCCCCACCATCGCCATATCGGACAGATAGCAACAAGTCCACCACAAGGGCACACACATGCATCTCTCACGACCTTCTCGCTACTAGACTAGACCTCTCTACCCGATCAAAGCCGCTTGGTGCCCAAAAGCTTTGCTGTACCAAGCAGTCGCTCGCAGTATACTCTCCTCTACTATCAGCAATAAAACTTCCAAAAGCCACAATCTGATATACAAAAAAAGACCCTCACCTCTGGCCCATTAAAATCCACCACCACCGCAGGGCACTGGACCCCAGGTACAATACAGCACCAACCAATATAGCCTACCTTCTTCCTTTTGACAGGCAGACATGGATATGGGTTTAGAGCTCCTCTGTTGTGCCTCTGCCAAATCAGTCACTCTCCCAGCTGAGTAAGAGTAAGGGTAGGCCTCCTCTGTTGATCATCACCGATCAACAGCGCTCAGGTTTCCGGACAATACGGATTCGTCCTCCCGTCGCTTCCGTCCACTTCCCACGAACTGTAAGCAAAACAACAAATGTTGAAAACCGAAACTTCTCCGTCTAAAGGAAGAGCATCACAACTTGTGCCAGAAAGAAACCCCTGGCCAGAAGTAGGTACCAGACCCTGTGCAGAGAGGTCAAGCGAGCAGCAGCACCCCCACTGCTGCTGCATGCATATACATAATACTAACTAGTCCTCTATAACATGCATATACTATTTCTGCGGGGGAAGACGAAATTGGAATTGGTCATCCCATGCATGCATGCATTTCCAAACACAGTCGCAGAGGAGAGTATTTAAGACCGGCAAGACCCTCGCTCCTTGAAAAGATTTGATCACAACAAATTAAAAACAGAATCCACCATCAGACAGCCTTTGCGAATAGAACGGCCAGGTTAAAATGCTCTACAAGAGAGGGCAGTCACAAGGCACACAGCAGGAAGTAGGCTGGCTTCCTCATCCCCCCAACCCTTTGCTTGCAGTACAGAGTGGCCAGAGGAGTGCCATACCTATTATCCCTCACCTTCCCAGGATGGGCAGCTGCACAAAGCCACCGAAAGTAATCCATGCGCAACCTGCACTGAGGCCGGGCACAGCGTATTCAAACCATAGAGCACAAGTACTGCGTGTATGTTGTGTGACGGAAAAGACGATCACCCAAAAATGGAGAGGTAGAACGGCAGAGACAACTGATGACAGCAAGAGTTCCCGCAGAAATCTGACATGGACACAATCGAGCATGTTACGCCCACTTATTTACACACCCAAAATATGCAGCAAACAAGTAGCATAGGAGCAGCGACTGATGAGAAACACAACAGCACGGATATTCCCGCCCAGAGAATAACGACAAGTTGAGTTGATTGACAGATTCATGGAGGAATGATAAAGAGACGAGGGGACGGAAGAAGAAGGAAATCTTTCAGCCTCATCAGAACACTCACCACTTGAAGGACAGCTCCTTGTTGCGATACAGTGAAGAGGCCCCAGGACTTTCACCCCTCTTGCCATTCATTGCCAGAGATTGAGACTGCCTCCACCTTGGCAGAATGCCCATTCACTCAAGAGTCTGAAAGGCTACTCACACTCCGATCAAGCACCACTACCTGAACTAATGGAATATAAGGTCCAACCAACCAATTCCATCAATCGTAGCTAGCGTTCAAAAACCTGAGGAGCTCCTTCCGGTTGTTCTCCGCTCTTTTATCCTCCTGAGTCTTCTCAATCTTCAGCTGAATCTGCACAATCCCACACAACAGATTCACAATAGAAAGGCAACCAGTGCCGCCATCAGAAAAAGAGTCTATAATGGATCTCATAAAATGACAGTTTCCCTTATACACACCCGGTCATCAAAAGTCGACATACAAAAACTGGCTCAGGAGTCAGGACCCTCGGCGGATTCACACCATAATCACAGCCAGAAAACTCAAGTCCTACTGTGATAAACTATGCTCTTAGGGCATATAGTTACACTAGGCCTTTCCAGGATGTACATCTGACTGAATTACTAACAAAGTCAGTTCCAATAGTCTTGAGTCGTCGTTATGTACACCAGCTTCTCAACCCTGCTCTGATATCAACATCTGAAAACATCCTATTCAAGCCAGGCAATTACGAAACGGGAAAAGAAAAACTCGATAGTTAAAAACTTGAAATTTGAAAAACAACTTAGAACAATTTAATAACTGCACAGAAAAAACAGGAGCAGAGGATTACACAATGCACAAGGGTGAGGAGTATGATAAGATTCACAGCCGCAATATCCGGAGGGAAAGAAGAACAACACGGGAAGAACAACATGGGGAGAAGGCGAGAATTGAAGCCTGATGCTCCAACACTTAAAGGAGAGAAAATGCAGGTACAGAGGGTCAGGGCCCTCAGAGATGACCCTATGAAAGCCGTACACACTGACTGGCAGCAACCATTACGTGTGTGACACACCATGAGCGGGTGTACCTCCACAGGCATGCCGCTGGTATTTGCCGAGCTGCAAAGTGTATTTATAGCCAGGGTGAGAACCTGTGATGCGGCTCTATTTCAATCAGACATTCCTCCAATTTATAATGGGTGTCCCAACTGAACTGATCAATTAACAGATGGAAAGAAAGCAATGTGTGTGTATTTGCATGTACGCACGCATGCATGAGAGTACACATTCGAGCGTTAGCGAATGACTGCGTCTGTGAGTGTGTACTAATATATGTCCGTGCATTAACGAGTGTGTGCCTGCATTAGCGCCTGTTTGCATGTGTTAGTGCGTGTGAGCCAGGGGAGCGCTGAGTGGGCATCTAGAGTCGTATCCGTGACTTCGGGTGGAGGGTGCATCAGATGGAGGGCCGTCGGGTGGAACAAAAGGTACTGTACCAACATCAGGCTCAAAATGTGCTAAGAGCACTGTGCCGGACCTGCCGGGCTCTTGGTTGGCCAAGAGCAACAAGATCACCAAGATACCCAGTATCTTGGCCTTCAAGGTGCTGGCAGCCTGCTGCTGCAGCAGGAAAAAAAAAATAAAATGAAATAATAAAGGGTTGGCTGAGATCTTGATCAGCCACCCTGATTGCACTGACGCGCAGCCCCCTAGCCAGGGTCTTCACTGCTGCCAAACTGCTGGTGCAGCAGTACAGAAAATAATAACCAGCATCATCATCATCATCTGGGTGTGCTGATATCTTGATCAGGCACCCAGATTGGCCTGTACTTGCAGCCCCCTAGCCAAGGGGGGGG